GGAAAAACACAACAGATGAGTTGCAGATACACAGAACTTTGAGGGCTAACAATAGACTTCTATGACCTATTAAGTAGTGGATAAGTCATAGTACAAAGATCAGACACAGAAATATCTCAACAAAGTTAAAGTGCTGTGTTTTTAAACTTATTTCCAAGTGCTTGCTGTGATGCATGTCTCATACTAACCTCCAGCAGCAGCCAGCACTATCCTGGGTCCTTTATAATGTGTTGTTATGTACTCCACCAAGTCATTGCGATTTATGGATCTGTAGTGGTAAAGAAGAAAATGACTGCACCTCCTGTCAGCATAGGTAGTGTCTACACTGAAGCATTGCAGCGATGCAGCTGTGCCACTGCAGCGTTTTAAGTGTATATAAGTTAAAAACAGAAGTTTCACATTGTAATAGTGTCCAAAGCAAACATGTCTGAGTGTAAGGCACTCAGGGGAAATTCCACTTGCAATTCCACCTTGTGCAACCCCAAACACTTCATAAGGCATAAAGAGAACAGAAATTGTTCCATTTATCTTTAAGTGTGGTTTTCAAATACTGGAAAGTAACCATGAAATTAAGACAAAGGAGAAACAGAAGCTGGATTTACTTGATGTTTTCGGTGGGGCCTAATATTGTCCGTCCCAGTGTAGTGTTCTGATAGGCTGTGGCATGAAGATAATCAAAGACAACTTCCTGCAAATTGGTTTCAACTTCCTGCATCTCTCGAAGGATAACTCCTCGCTCCCGCTCGATCTCTGCTTCCCCCAGTGTACTGTTCTGTATGATGTCAGCAAGAATCTCCACAGCTAGTTGAAAACACAAAGGGATGGGGGGCAAGTGTGCTTCAGCAACACTGGAACCTTCAGCTCACTATATCGTAATCAAATAAGCAGCTCAAATACATATTATAAGTGGGCAGAACTGTTAGCATAGAGTACAGGAAGAAAGATCTAACAGGAAATTGAAAATAAACTTCTACATAGTGTAATCTTATTTTGTAATATTTGTTTTAAGAAAAAACTTTTGTGCCCTTCTTGGAGAGAATGTGTGTTCTTCAGGGATTTCTAAAACTTCTAAGAACATAATGCTGCCCATTAATTTCATTTGGTGGCCCCCTAGTTCTTATATTATGGGAACAAGTAAATAACTTTTCCTTATTCACTTTCTCCACACCACTCATGATTTTATATACCTCTATCATCTCCCCCATTAGTCTCCTCTTTTCCAAGCTGAAAAGTCCTAGCCTCTTTAATCACTCCTCATATGGGACCCGTTCCAAACCCCTAATCATTTTAGTTGCCCTTCTCTGAACCTTTTCTAATGCCAGTATAGCTTTTTTGAGATCAGACCACCACATCTGTACTCAGTATTCAAGATGTGGGCGTAGCATGGATTTATATAAGGGCAATAAGATATTCTCTGTCTTATTCTCTATCCCTTTTTTAATGATTCCTAACATCCTGTTTGCTTTTTTGACTGCCGCTGCACACTGCGTGGACGTCTTCAGGGAACTATCCACGATGACTCCAAGATCTCTTTCCTGATTAGTTGTAGCTAAATTATCCTCCATCGTATTGTATGTATAGTTGGGGTTATTTTTTCCAATGTGCATTACTTTACATTTATCCACATTAAATTTCATTTGCCATTTTGTTGCCCAATCACTTAGTTTTATGAGATCTTTTTGAAGTTCTTCACAGTCTGCTTTGGTCTTAACTATCTCGAGCAGTTTAGTATTCTCATCAAGGAATTGTCAATATGAATTATTTTATTTCAGATGAACTCTATGGAGTAAGACAATTCACTTAGACATACCAGGAATGAACAATTAGAGAAAACTAAACAAAAATATAGCTTGTTCTTCAACTGGCAGCACTTTGTTTCTCTCTTCTTGGAAGCTTCTTTTTCACAATATGTTTAGAGACAAATAGCTTAAGTTAATCACAATACAAATATCCAGGGCCCTATCATACCTTCCCCAGGTCAAACACACTGGAGGAGCACAGAGTGCCCAAGATACACTGGGAGGTTCACTTTAGAGTTTGAACAAAAGTTCCCTCAGAAGGACAAGGGTGCCAAAATAGGGGCAGGGAACATGGTCTGCAAAGTCGGCATCTCTCTGAGATCTGCAGGGGAGTGAGAATTTCACATCTTTAGCCCCAAAGGAGAGCCATTTGGTCCCTAGGAGATGTGCCAAGCATGGGCCACAATGCTGAAATGCTCCTCTCCAAACCTGCTAAGCCTCATCCCCATGGAGTTTCAGCAAGGGGGCTGCCAAGGAAGGGAGGTGGGAAGCACACTGCAGAGGCACTGTTCTCCCATTTCTGCTTTTTTAGAGGGTTGTCAGCTCATTTAATTCCTTGTTGTTCCCCTCCTCACAATCTTTAGGAAGGATGCTCCTTCAGAAATTCTGCAGAACAGAAGCAGTTACCTCTTGGCAAGTCCTTTGAGAAAGCCTTTGCATAATACACAGTTTGTTCTCTGGATGTGTAGGCATTAAGATGAGCTCCCATGTTTTCAATCTCTAGTTCCAGGTCTAATTGAGACCTCTTTTTTGTCCCCTGAAATTAAAGAAAGAAAAAAAAATGGTTTACTTGCACTCTGGAAGGTACCTACCCACAAAGTAGCTTTTGCACATGGGGAATAGTAAGGGTTTATTTAAATAAAAAAAAAAAACTGATTTGAGCACAAGAGAAACAACTGGTTTGGGGTGGGGGGAAAACGTTGGCACATCGGTTTTTCCCCACTGGAAAACTAAGTTTAAAGCCTGCACAGATTCCAAGTGAAAATTAACTTGAGGACAGAGTGCCGATTTGTCTCCTACAAAGATTAGTTAAATTCAGCATGACTCAACTCTACCAATCTCAGGTGTCAGCAGGAGTGGATCAGTTCAGGATTTAAACATAGTGGCAGAAATACGGAAGGAAGGTTGCACAACACCTGACTCAAACCAGTGTTGTTTTGACTGCACCTCAGTAAGCACTCAAATTATTAAATTTTAAAATGCTGAAATAACATGCAGAACTAACTCTTGAAACTAACAGATCTATCATTCTTGAATTCCTCCTGTCAGCCATTTTGTTTGTTTGTTTTTTTGTTTCAAATAGATCAAACATGAAATTCTTCTTTCAGGCAAGGCTATAGCAGCACATGCAAATGTACGGGTGAAGCCATACCGATCTGAGGTGATATCCTGGCTCCACTGAAGTCAACAGCAACTTTGCCATCGACTTCAATGAGGCCAGGATTGCATCCTTGATTTTTATTTTGGACAAAAATCCAAATTGCTTGTGTTTTCCAGGTGATTTTGAAAAGTGATAGACTGAAATCAGTTGTAAAGAGTCTCCATAGTTATCCTTAAAGATAAGTAAACAATTTTAATTTTAAAAAATTTAATTTGAAAACTAGTTTTAATACTTACCTTGAAAGCCATATGCTCCAGAAAGTGAGCTGTTCCGTTGTTCTTCTCATTTTCATACCTGCTTCCAGCATCAATCCAAAGACCAACCTTATTAAAAACAAATATTAATCTTACTATTTAATAGAAGATAGCATTGGCATTGTCTTGCTGGTTCTTACTTCGGCTAAGATTTTACCTTTTATAAATAGACTACACATAGATTTTCAAAAGTGACTAGTGATTTGGGTGCCTCATTAATACTCTTAATGAAAATAGTACATCTAATTTCACAATGTAATGAAAATACAGGTACATAGTTAAGTAAAAAATTCATTCACAAGTTACCTACTGTGCATGTTGAGAGTCCAGAATCTTCAGAAGCTACTCTCAGGCCATTTTCCAGAGAAGACACTTTAGTCTCAGGAACATTTAAAACTATTTGCGTTGCTGCCTTGGTGGCCCTGAATCTGCTTGTCCCAAGTTGTATGGACTGTAAAGAAAAGCCATTAGTTACAAATTGTAGGCACCATCCTATGATGCTTGTCAGGAAAGCATGCTCCTGAACTTAAAAGTATGAATTATTTATTTTTGTTTTGTAAAATTAGCCCTGATTTGGTGGCCACTGCTCTTCTCCTCAGAAATGCACCAACTCTGCCCAGAAAGGAAGCATGAAGGGGCGTAAAATGGACCAGTCTGCAGCTGACCCCTTTTTAATGCAATGGTTAGAGCACTAGCCTGGGCTGTGAGAAACTTGGGTTCAGCTCAAGCCACTTAGTCTTTTTGTGCCTCAGTTCCCCATGTGTAAAATGGGGAATTGTAGTAAAAGCATTAAAGATTATGAGGTGCTTACATATTACAGTAAGGGGCCATATAAGTACCTGAACTAGTCCCAGAAGGGCCAACATCTACAGCTCCTCAATCTGCACAGATCCATGTTTTTATTCAAGAAACCCAGAGTCCAGGGCTCAGCCTGCAATGCCACCCCATGTAGCCTACAGAACTAAGCAGGCTGCTCCAGCTTCAGCCAAAAACTGCAGAGCCACACGCACCGTGGCTTGCACAGATCCCACACAGCCAGACAACCCCACGAGTACAGCGGGCAACTACAAAGCTTGGGGGACCCCAGTGTGCCAGCCTGTATTCCACCTTGGTTCCACGGCCCGCCAGGGACATTAGTTGGCGACTCCTTCATGGAGCTGTGAGTACAGGTGTGTATCTAGCGTGGTTCACCCCTCTTCCCAATGCCTGTCCTTGTTGCGATGTGTGGGAGACCCTGGCGCATGTCTATCTACAGTGCACCAGGTTGCCGTCCCTCTTCCAGCTCCTCCAGAACCTCTTGTTGAGGTTCTGGCTGCACTTTTCCCCACACCTTTTTATATATGCACACCCAATCCGGGGCCCCACAAAGTCACGGGACCACCTTGTCAACCGCCTCCTAGCCATGGCCAAAGTGGGCATTTATAACACCAGGCTGAGGGGGGCCTGCAACTGTGGGGCCCGTTTTCGTTCTTTCATCCGTTCACGCATCTGGGCAGCGTCCGCTGGCTCCTTGGATGCTTTTGATGAGCAGTGAGCGCTATCCAGGGTTCTCTGCTCGGTGTCCCCTTCTGGTCCCCCAGTTCTGGTCCTTCAACCCCCCACACCTGTTACTGTTTTTTTAATTTGTTGTCCCCCGATTTTTGTTGATTTCTGGGCTCAGTAGCTCCTCCCCAGGCTGGGGGAGGGGCCCTTAGCTTATGCCTGCCCACTTCCCAGCACCCAATAGGACTACGCAGCTTGGGGGGGGCGGGGTGGGAGTGGGCAGGTCCCAGGGCTCAGTGCGACCCCGTGAAAATAACCTGAAACTACAGCTCCCAGGGTGCACCGCGCGGAGGAAGCCCATTGCCCTTGAATTGCCGGCTGCTTGTGGCCCGGCCAGAGGGTTGGGAGCCCACCCAGCATCTCCCCCGCGCCCCGATCCCTGCCACTCACCCGGCTCGCTGGAGCTGAGCCCCGCACAAGGCGGCGGCCAGACCCGGCCCAGAGGAGCCGTCGGGCCGCCAGGCAGCCTGCACTCAGCGCCGCCGCCATCTTAGAGAAGAGCCGGGGCGGCCGCGCGTCTCGACTTCCGGCGGGAGCGTCCCAGGGCGGGGGGCTGTGGGCAGACGCGGCGGAGGGGCGGGGCGAGGCGGGGATAGGTGGGGGCGGGGCGAAGGCCGGCCCTGGCAGGCGGGTCTGGCTCTTAGCAGCAGCGCCGTGTTGTAATCCTCCATGTCTCTGTTTTGCCATTTAGAGTCCGTCCGTTATGGGCCGGGTGTATATCGCTTTCTCTCTGTAGCCTTAGAAAAGCCTCTGTCAGCACACATCTTAGGGCTCAGGGAATGAATTACATATGTTAAAATAAGCAACACAAAATTGCTTTCATTGGCTTCTTTTGCATTTATATTTTGTAAATTTCAGCCCCCCACCCTCCATACCTCCACCCTCCAACTCTCTCATGACAGCACTTTATTTTACAAAATGTAAATGAGCCTAAGTGGTTGACAATATCCTTTTAATAAGTATTATTATTAAAATATGAAAAATATCTGAAGCTCGTGATGAGGCCATTTATTTTCTGGTTTAACAATTAATGCAAATTTATAGTCTCGTGAGTAGTCCCACTGATTTCTTTTGGACTGCTCTTGAAGGTAAGATTTTGCAGGATTTGGGACATAATGCTTAATCGTGCTCATTTTCCTGGGACAGGTAGACCAGCTGGGCCAAATTCTCTGGTGTAAATAGGTACAACTCCTTTGACTTCAAGTTAATTTTGCCCATCTAACCAGCATGTCTTCAGTGGGGCTATTTGTACAAGTAAGGCAAACAAGATTTGATCTTAATATTACTCAAAATTTTTTAAAAAATAGACTCCTAAATATAGTGAACAGTAACAAGAAGAAATAAATTGTCTTCTCCTACAGAAGTGACATGGAAGTTTTGAGTTCAGATTGATTGCAGGATCAGGCTCTTTATTATTAAAATATAATTCAGATAGTGCTGCAAAACCTTATTAATACAAATAGTCTTTATTCACTTGAGTAATCCTTATTGGGTTACTTATGTGAGAAAGGGGTATGCATGACTCACTCCCAGGATCATTAACTTGCTTTTGTTATTTATGTACTTTGAAATGGGATGCTAAGCTTAAATAGGTTATTGTGGAAGCAGAAAAAACCATTTAAAATGCATAAGGCAGGGTAGAAAGAGAAATTATCTTTCTCAGCTTTACCATTAAAGTTCTTTTAAACTCTGCAAACACAAAATGATAACAGTTAAGCCTTGAATGTTCATGATTAAAACAAAAAGCCCAGTTATATGTAAGTTACTGAGTCTGCACACAAACTTCAAGAATAAATCTGCCTTTGGATGACAGTTTAAAGGAATCCAATTTTTCTAAACCTCAGAAGGGGCCCATAATATTTTAGCAAACTCGTAGTCTCTGGTGACATACAGTATAGCTATGGATTAACCCATCATACTTTAGGCCTGAAGGATTTATTGTACTTTACTCTGTTGACCCAAGCCCAGGAAGAGAGCAGACACATGCTGGTGATCTGCGTGTTTAGAAATATTTACTATAATATTAATGTAGGTTGGATTCTATGCACAATGTATATTTTTGTTTCTTCCCACCATCAAAATGGAAAACAGTAGCTTCTTTTTAATAGTACAACTTATCCATTTCAGTTTCGTAAGGCTTTGGGTGGTGCTCTCTCCAACAGGGAACTGAATTCCACTCTTATTCACACTGGTTTTAAATCCAGTGTAACTCCACTGGACTCTTCTGAACTGGGAGCAGAACTTGACCCTCGCATTTTAAATTATTTGTACATTTTATTAGAACTATTTGACTTTGTCTCTGAAGTATCTTGTATATCAGGCAGCAGATAGTTTATTTTCTGATGCACTTGCTCTGCAGATTATCTCTGAAAACTCTCCACTTTCTCCTGTGGGGTGGGCAAGGATGCCCAGTTTTATTCTAACTCTTTTCAATAACTTTTCATGTCATCATAACTTAAGGTCCTCTGTGTTTCAAGTGTCCAGTAGGAATTTTTCTCTTGGAATGACAGCAAGATTACACCTTGTATTTACTACCCTTAAATGAAACTCTTCTTGGCATCACATAAAAGTCTTGGGTAAACACTGAGGGCAAAGTCCTAGCTCCATTAAGTCAATGGAGGATTTTTCCATTGACTTCAGGGTAGGTAGGAATTTACTCTAAGGGTGGAATATAATTGTTCCACACGTGGGACTCGCATTCATGTTGCATGTGATAGCTATGAATTCAGCAGTGAAGGGTTTAAATGGCAGTTCCACATATGCACTAAGTGCAAAAAAATAAGGGCACAAGCCTGCAAACGTGCTTAACTTTACTTAATCACATCAGTAATATTAAACCTAGGGTTGCCAATTTGGGTTGGATGTATCCTGGAGGTTTCATCATATGACATAGTCTTTAATTAAAGATTCATCTTTAATTCCTGGAGGTTTGGCAACCCTAAGCCCATAGGGTGAATTCTTGTTCCCGTTGAAGTCCATGGCAGTTTTGTCATTGACTTCAGTGAAACCAGGATTTCACCCAGGATATTTGCTGGAACAAAGCCTAAAGATTTTTTGTTTGTTTGTTTTTGCCACTGGGGACACTTTTTCCAGTTCTTCCCTTACATATATCAGTTTCCCTGTGCCAGTTGTGTGGGGTACTGAAACCCACGCATAAGCTGATCCACCTCTCTTGTAGCTTTCTACAAGGGGGTATGTGTTGCTGCCATGGAGATTGTTTCTGAAGAGCTGTGCATGTTCCCCTGTACAATTGATAGTAGACATCCGCTCAGGCCCTGGGGGCGGGGCTTAAATAGGAGGACCTTGCACTGAGCCTGTTGTTGAACCACTCCTTACTGCTATCTAGGTGTCCCGTGTAAGGTTTCATGAGCCACGGCTGTAAGGGGTATGCAGCATCCCCAGGATCACTATGGACATTTCAACACCCTCCACTGTAATCTTCTGTGTTTAGGAAAGAAAGACCCCGCTTGCAGCTTTCTGTACAGGGCAGTGATCCTGAAGATGCGTGCATCATGCACCTTCCCAGACCTGCCTGCGTTGATATCAGTGATCCACAGGTGCCTGCCACATCATGGAGAAATACCCCTTCCTATTGATGTACTCCGTCGCAAGGTGGTCTGGTGCCAAAATTGGAATATGTGTGCCATCTATCGCCCCTTCACAGTTAGGGAAGCCCATTTCTGCAAAGCCTTCCACTATTTCATGCACATTTCCCAGAGTCACGGTCCTTCGTAGCAGGATGCAATTTATTGCCCTGCAGACTTGCATTAACACAGCGCCAACGGTCAACTTCCCCACTCCAAATTGATTTGCGACCAACTGGTAGCAGTCTGGAGTTGCCATCTTCCACACAGCAATTGCCACATGCTTCTCTACCGAGAGGGCAGTTCTCATTCTGGTGTCCTTGCGCTGCAGGTCCGGGGTGAGCTCCGTGCACAGTTCCAGGAAGGTGGCTTTCCGCATCCAAAAGTTCTGTAGCCGTTGTTCATCATCCTACACCTGCATGACGATACGATCGCACCATTCAATGCTTGTTTCACTGAGCCCAAAAGCGACCGTCTACCCTATGCACCTGCTGTGTGAATGCCAAAAGCAATCTAAAGTTTCTGTCGTGCAGACTGTCAGGTGCCTGCGAGTCTTCTTCAGTTAGGAATTTCATGATTAACTGCACTGCCATCCGCGACGTCTTCATGACAGATATCAGAGCATAGGAGAGCAGTACGGGATCCATCCCTTCTTACAAAGATGGTGGGGTACACAGCAAAGAAGGGCCATTGACAAAATGCCGCGAAAGAAAGCTGGAAGCCCATGGAGTGCTGGGACAGAAAGCAATGCATCATGGGACATTTAGCACTTTCCCAAGATGCGCCGCAATCCGCTCCATCATCTCATAACACCTAGCGACAGAAGGACTGTGGGATAGGTACCCACAGTGCGTTGCTCACACTGTCGATGATAGTGCCCCCACTGTGGACATGATCTGCTGACAGAGAGAGCAAGTGTGAACACAAAATTGCGATTTTTATTATGTCAACTTTTGGGTGTCAACATCACTTTTGTCAACCCAAATTGGTAGTGTAGACATGGCCTTATGTAGACTGACTTCTAAAGGGGGACAAAGACCAACACTGTATGGTGGTAATGTGGTTTATAAAACATAGTGGCTTAAGTTACTGGAACTCTCTCAATGTAGCCCTGTAGCGCGGAGATCACCCCGCTCCAGCTCAGAAAGGGTTAAAAGCCAGCCCTTGGGGAGGGCTGGGGCTGAGAGACGATCAGGAAGGCACGGGGCCTGAAGTACAGTGGTGGAGATTCTCCAACCTTGGCTGCCTGAATGAGCAAAGAGTACCTTGGACAGCGCAGTGCTGGGGAAGGGCAGGAGGAGCTGGGGGAGCTCCAGCCTGGCAAACCCCCAGGCAGAGGCCTTGCTGTCAGGGCCGGAAGAGGTATTAGGGCTGTGGGGAGACAGCCAGGGAGGACCACTTTGCGGCATTTGGAAATCAATTTGTTTCATTCCAATTGAGGTACATACTGTAGTATCATTTCACAAGAATGAGAGGCCTCTGCTTAATATGCTCCTCATTTGATGCTGAACTCTGTCCATCATCCATACCTCCCACAAAGCACGTGGAGGCTCCATTGCTGTAGTCTTTTCTCCTATCTCAACCCTGTGATTTCCATGGGTTATTCCAGTTATGGCTGTGTCACTACAATTAATATACTGATGAGAGGTTAAAATCCAAAGTCTGGCAAGAGATGATTAATTTTATAGCAGTTTTATCTATGGTCCTGAGAGGATAGGTTCAAGTTACAGCACTGATGGACCAAGTCCACTGATGCTGTTACATACATTCATACATATATGTACACATCATATACATATAAAATCACAGGGAACAGTACCAAGTGACTAAGGTGACTAACTAGACAGCATATTATGTATAGGGAATCATCTTTGTTGTCACAGTGAGCTGTTCAGTAACAATCTATACATTGAAAAATG